GATTTATGTTGCTAAAAGGACTAAAAGATTCATTGCATTTTATTTTCCTTCTAAAGATTTCTGTTTTCTAATAGTGCTATAATTCTTGGGTTCCATAGTAGATCTGATGTACAGTGAACCCTCCATAAGTGCACCCCCTTGGGAATGGATGAGAGCGTGCATTTATGGAGGGATGCATTTATAGAGGAGATGAATTTTATTGGTTGCATGTGATACTAATAAAAATTATTGTTGTACAATTTTAAATATTTTTTTAATTACAATAATATTTAATATGTAATAATAATAATAGTTGACTAAAAAATTGTTTCATTGTGGTTTGCTTCATTGAAATTTTTTTTTAAATTAATGTATTGCTCAAGAGCATTAACTTGTCCTAATTGTTCTTTAGAATTTTCTTATTTTATTATAAATTTTAAAAAAAAAATCATGATCTTTTATCTTTTGTTTAATCCTTACTTTTTTAATTTCATGTATATATAATTTTTTCCATTTGTGTTTTTATCATTATTATTCTAATAACTCTTTGTCAGTTAAAAAGAAAAAATTAACAAATATTATTTAATCCTTTATAAGCAACAGTAGCTTACTTAATCCTTTATTTTCCATTACTAATATTAAAAAAGAGGTAAAAAAGATGATAAATATATTATAAATAACATCAGGTACTTTCCCGTGCTTAATTTTTTGCACGTTGAATTAATTAATGTAACACGAATTTATTCAAAAATAATCACGTGAAAGTCACGGGCATGCATTTAGAGAGGGTGGTTTTATATGAACGGGGATGGGAGAAGACCGTGCAGTGCAGAGTATGGAGGGTGTGCATTTATCTCTAATTCCCGAGGTTGGGAATGAGACATAGCGTGCATTTATGGAGGGATGCATTTATGGAGGGTGCATTTATGGAGGGATGCATTTATGGAGGGTGCATTTATGGAGGGATGCATTTATAGAGGGTGCACTTATGGAGGGTTCACTGTATATAAATGAGTTCCTTTTTATTATATAGGATAATTCAATATTACTTGATAATAATAATGATGACTGAATTTTTAACCCTGAAATCCTTGGTAATACAAATGTTCATTTGTTGCAAGCATGTCCCATATAAAGAATGTTGCCAAACTACCCCCCGTATTTATTCAATTTCAAATTACTCTAAAATTGGAAATGAAACCTAATTAGACAATGTAAATATAAATATTATTTATTATATTATTCTAAAAAATTTTTTTTAAATTTTGTGATTTTATTTGTTAAATTTTATGCGAACAATACTAAAGGAAATTAATAATGGAATTATACAAAGCAAAATAAAATTTTTTGGGTATAAATAACCTGCTTTTTTATAAAATCTATTCTGTAAATATATGTAAATATATATATAAAAAAACCAAAAAATATTTTTTAAAAAAAAAAAAAATGAAAAAAATCATATTTTATTTCCTATTATTTAATTTATTAAATATAATTATTACAGTAAATGCTATAGCAATTAATAAAAAAAGACAAGACCCACCACCACCAACCACTCCAACATTCCCAACACAATATTATTATGATCAAAAACTTGATCATTTCAATGATACAAACACCGAAACATTTAAACAAACATACTATTTCAATTCATCATTCTATAAAGCAGGCGGGCCAATATTTATCCATACTGCTGGTGAGGCACGTGCCCAACCAATTTATGTATTTAGTACAGGGATTAGTGAATTGGCAGCTAGTCTTAATGGTTTGTTGGTAACAATTGAACATCGGTTTTATGGTGATAGTTATCCACCATCCATAACAGATTTATCATTTGACAATATAAAGAATTATTTAACAATTGACCAATCATTGAATGATTTTGTAAATTTTATTAAAAATCCACCAGCAGAATTGGCAATTACAGACAATGCTAAAGCAAAGTGGGTATTTGTTGGCGGTTCTTATGCTGGAAATTTAGCCGTTTGGATACGTAAATTATACCCGGATGTTGTATTTGCCTCTTATGCTTCTTCAGCACCGATACTAGCTAAATTGGATTTTTTCGAATTCGACCAAAGTATAGCAAAAGCTTTGTCTAAATGCAGTCAACAAGTTGCCGACGTTTTCAAGCTTATTGATCCTATTTTGTTATCTGGGAATGATACAGCAATATTGGAGTTAAAAAAACTGTTTGGCTTACAAGATTTGGTAGATAATAGTGACTTTGCTTCTGCACTATCCAGTCCAATATCTGATATGGTTCAATACTATTTACCACCATCTCCTTCATTCCCAATCGATACTATAAAAACTTACTGTGATGCATTCAATCAAGCTCCAGCAACAACGACACCATTTGAAATATTTGTTCAGCTTACAAATTATTACTTCCAATTAGTTGGTTTAAACACCACTGAGGCCATTTTGAAAAAATTTTCAACAACCGATTCATTAACTCTCAAAATACCAAACGATCTAACAAGTTACACTTTTCAATATTGCACGGAGTTGGGCTACTTTCAAGTTGCACCTAAACCACCTTTACTAAGTCTTCGGTCACAATTGAATAACAATACATATTTCCAAGGACAATGCAACTATTTATTTCCAACCTTGCCACCACCAAATGTCAACAAGACAAATGAGAAATTTGGTGGTAATGATGGAGTATTTTCTAATACTGTTTTTGTTAACGGCGATCTTGATCCTTGGCTTACATTAACAGTGAAAAATTTGAAAGATAATAAAGTTTTCATAATAAAAAATGGATCACATACCAACGATTTAAATTTTCCAACTCCTTCTGACTCTCAATCATTAATTGATTCAAGAGTATTTGTTAAAGAAACATTGTCTAAATGGTTAAATGTAAAAAATTAAAAGTAAAAAGAGTCAGTGTGTGTGGTGGTAACACAACATTAATATTTAATAATAATAATAATAATAATAATAATAATAGTAATGATGATGATTATTAAGATTCTGGTATTCTTAATTGTATATGATTTAAAAAAAAATGTCATTTTTGTTTTTTTTTTTTTTAATTTTTTGGTTAAAAAAATTAATTTGTAAATTATAATGTTTCGTAATTTAATAAATTATATATTACACAATGAAAAAAAGTAATGTATTGGTGATGGCTAATATTGATTATATATAATTAACTTTCTCAGAAAAAAAGAGATCAAATTCTCGAGGCTGTTTGTTGTGCGTGAAAACGAATTTGCAATTCACATATATTAATATTGTCCAAAATTATTCAAATTAAACAATGCGACATTAAGAACGGGGTTTTTAGTGCACCCGGGGCTAGTTTCGAATTAAATGATTGCGTGTTGTGTAATAGTAATATCAACATTATTTTAATGTACGTGAAAATAGAATTTATTACTATATTTAATTATAGATTCAATTTCTTCTACAACATCCCCCCATTAACCCATGAACTATTCTGTTTTTAGTGGTGGCATAAAGTTTTCGTGAACAGATTTTGATGCTTACGTGAAAATTATTTTTTATTCTATTAAAAAAAGTACAATCCTCGCAGTAGAATAAAATATAGATTAAAAGATAAAGAATATAATAGTAATAGTCAACCATGAGATAATAATAACAATTAATCAGATAAACATAATAATATTAGATGATGGATAGATAATAACTGTCTAAGCCAACTAACTAAACCATCTGATTTTGCCTAAATAATATGAACACATAGAAACATGTCATTGGTAAGAGAATGTCAAGAAATCAATTCCCTCTTTAAAACGCATCTGCACTAAATGTCCATAAGATTCAAAGATTAGCCCTACCATATATGTAATGTTGAATGCTGATGAAAGCATGTTTGCTGAAGGGCAAATATATGTTATAATGGGTTAGGATTCTTCTTTAGAAAAACTGCTATTCTCAATTAAGGGAGATTAAAGAAAATTAACATTAACGGCTTACAGAATTTAGCAAACAATAAAAAAAATCACATTGGTTTTATTTCATAACTAATCTGATTCAAAATCGAGCTGGATTTTTTATTTAATTGATTTATTTTAATAATTATTATTATAGCGAACCGTACCTTTTTCATTTCATTATTACTAGAACTATTAATTATATAAGCTTTTAACAGCAAACCCAGTTCTTGATTTTGTCAAGTAGTACGATTTAAGAAATATTCACATAGAATAATTGGGGGCAATGACAAAATTATTCATACTGAACATTCATACTACCAAATATTTCAGGGATCAAATGAATTTGGCAAAAAGAATTACTATTACAGTCAAACCTTGTCTAATAATTGTCATAACGGATTCTAAATAAAAAATTTTCTTATTATGTATCCCGTTCATCCGCTGTGACAAGAAATTTGACTGTATTGATCACGAATTTTTAGTAACGTTAGTTACACTTCAAGAAATCAGCTTCAAAAAAAAAATAAAAGTAATTGCACGGTGTTTTCTTTTCATTAATTTTCCTTTTTAGATTTTTCAACTTGACGTGTTTTAAAACAAGAGAATGTTGATGATAATGATGAGTTTATTGAAGCGTTTTGAACCAAAGTTATGTGTTAAGACCACTAATTATATATATATTAGAAAAAGCTTATACTATTTTTTAAACATTATAACAAAGCCTGCAATTAGCTACGGAGCATTTCACACATCGATAAAAATCAGCTTTCCTAAAAAGGATATTCAGCAAGAGATTTTGAACATTATTTGTTTATATTATCAACTGACGATTTATTTGCCAATGCTAAGCAAAGTTATTAATTATCCATACATATCATTTAATCGAAAATTGAAACTTGAAATACCATTGGCGAAATCTCTGAAATTAAATCAAAATCAAAATCAAAATCAAAATCATAGAACCAAAAATCTTTATTTACCAGATTCAAAGAAGTCTGGATCATTTAACAAAATTCGAAACTTTCGAAAAAATTATCCAAATTTTCGCTAATGAAATCCGAAATTGAAATAATAATTCAAAATTCAAGGTCTGACTCAAATTAAAAATTATTGATTTTGATTATTATTAGACAAACTCCTTGTTCCAAGGACATTTGGAGAATTAGAGGTTGTCAAAGAACCTGTTTCATTCAAAAAAATATCATTTTGATATTTGCATAAGATAAAATTGTTTATTTCATTTCAATAGGTAGATTTAGATATCCTTTTGTTCCATTATCATTACAAAATACAGATGGAATCATAATTATGAATCAAAATTGCTTGGCATAATTTAACTAATCATTTATTTACATCTTTTGTTTAATGATGTCATTCCAATGGAACGCGGCAAATAAGACAACAGCGGAAAGTGGCAAAAACAGATTCAAATTGCTATATATATCTTATTTCAATTATTAATTAACAACAATGAATATTATTACTAGCGCCTTAGAAACATACGGTTTTAATTAGCTCTTAAATTGGAAATTAGCATTAGAAGAATTAATCCTTAGGAAGTTCCAAATTGAATAGAAATCAGTCTTACCCATTTATTTCTATTTCTTCAGAATGCAATCAAGAATAAGTATCATAAATTGTATATAAAAAATGTAAAGGTTTTGATCTTGGAAAGATCTATGCAAAAACGTACATATCAACTTGTGGCGTACGTTCTTATTATTATAAAAGATACGGAATTATTCCGGAAAAAATTGTAAAATATACTAATACGGAAATTCGCAATTTTCCGTACACGAGGTTTTATTTAAAAAACGTATCAAATTAACTGAAATTACGTATATTTGATCTATTACTATAGAAATTTATATACGGAAATTCCGTATTAATTACAATTTTTATTGCTATGGAAAATGATTATTATAAAAGATACGGAAAAAATTGTAAAATATACGGAAATTCGCAATTTTCCATATTAATATCATGAGAAAAAACGTATCAAATCAACTGAAATTACATGTAATTGATCTATAGATACGGAAATTCTATGAATTATAATTTTTTATTGCTATTAATAAAGTAATACACAGTGTATCTCGATTTAACGGATTTAGGGGTTTAACGGATAAATTTTCAAAACCAAATCTTTCTATAATTATTTTATCTCGATTTAACGGATTTAACGGATTTTTCATATATATTCGATTTAGTGGATTTTTTTTTTAAAATCTATTCGAGCATAATAAAAATATCTCGATACAACGGATAATGTCGATCGTTAACTAATACAGGTACCAAACGTAATTAAATATGATATACACAAAAAATTTTTTGATAGATTTGTAATAAACTAGAGGATTATTTTATGAATGAATAAATTTATTACTTATTATTGTTACATTTTATTATCATATGTATATTTTATTTGTCGTATGTGTTATCATATTATTTATTTTATTGTAAAATATTAATATTATTGTACAACGTATCACGTGATCGTTTCATAATATCTTGGCTTTGCGGATATCTCGATTTAGCGGATATTTTTTTTGGAACGAACATATCAGCTAAATCGAGATACACTGTGTATGATGTTAATTAGTTTTGATCTACATTAGTCCATCGTACACCCCAAGGATCTATGAACAAAATGTTCTAACAAACGTTTTATTAATTATTCAATCATTTGTGTAGGAGTAATCGAAGTAAGCTTTAAGGACAAGATTTACGAACAAAATATTCTAACGAACGTTTTATCAATTATTCAATAGTTTGTGCAGGAGTAATCGAAGTAAGCTTTAAGGACAAGATCTATGAACAAAATATTCTAACGAACGTTTTATCAATTATTCAATAGTTTGTGTAGGAGTAATCGAAGTAAGCTTTAAGGACAAGATCTATGAACAAAATATTCTAACAAACATTTTATCAATTATCTAATAGTTTGTATAGGAGTGATCGAAGTAAGAATTAAGGACAAGATCTATGAACAAAATATACTAACGAATGTTTTATCAATTATTCAATAGTTTGTGTAGGAGTGATCGAAGTAAGAATTAAGGACAAGATCTATGAACAAAATACGTAACAAACGTTTTATCAATTATTCAATAGTTTGTATAGGAATGATCGAAGTAAGCGTTAAGGACAAGATCTATGAACAAAACATACTAACGAATGTTTTATCAATTATTCAATAGTTTGTATAGGAGTGATCGAAGTAAGCGTTAAGGATAAGATCTATGAACAAAATATACTAACGAATGTTTATCGATTATTCAATAGTTTGTATAGGAGTGATCGAAGTAACCGTTAAGGACAAGATATATGAACAAAACATACTAACGAACATTTTATCAATTATTCAATAGTTGTATAGGAGTCAAGTTTTTCAAAAATGAACGTTTTATCAATTATAGTTATGTTTATTATTTATTTATGTATATATATAAATTTCACATTTATTTTAACTTATATTTAATAACATCACTATGATAAATAATTAAATGAATAAAGTCAAAGATAAAACGCCATTTAATTTAATTATTATTGTTGCTTGTTTATTATTCTAATCATTATTTATGTATATAGGTAAAGAAAATTTTAAAATCTATTTATTTATTATATTTACATAGTTATTCTTACCAGCAGCAGAAGTTTTATCTTTCTTAACATCAAAGTTTCCTTGTCTAATTATTTTATCTCTATAAGAAATCTGTTGTTGAATTTTGTAAAATTCATAATATGTGAAATCAGGAACAATTTGTCTAGCTATGCCAAATAAATGTTCAAGTGATTCAGTTCCATGCTCCCAAGTATAAAGAGGATATGTTGGGTAATGATCATGATGAGACAATATTAGCAAAATGAGTGATTCTGCTAAACTAAAAAAAATTCATGAACTTTGCATAGAAATATAATTATTTTTTAAAGTGAAAAATGATTTGGAATGTAATTCTGATGCTGATTCAATATAATTTATCCACATATGTAAAAAAAAATATGAACAGATTGCCATAATAATTCTATCTTTGTGACATATTTCTCTATTTAGGTAAGAATCAAATAGCTCTCCTAAAAATAAATAAATAGATATTTTATTTAGCTGTTATTTAATGAGGTATATAAATATATA